TTTAAGCAAGGGATCTACTGCTGTCCACAAGTTTGCTGCAACTCTAATTCTGAAGATCAGAACTGCTCACAGGGTTTTTGAGGCAAAATCTGTATGGAAGTAGATGTCCAGATGTTTTCTCCTACTCTACAGCTGTTGAGTTCAAACCTCAGACCTTTAGTTAGTTGTGTATAGCACTTAACCATTGCACCATCACGAAGATACCTTCAAGTAAGGGAAAAGGACCTTAGAAAAGCAGACTGATCAACCAAGACAGAAAATACTCATCTCCATACCAATTCTGCTTATGAAAATAATCACCAACCCTATTGGCTATCAGATGTCTGAATATAGCACATGAGAACCATATCCATAGTTAATGCACATGCAAAGAGACAGAAAAATGTTGCCCAAGAGCAGCAGCCATCTTTTTTGATTCTGGCCTGGTGCCCAATGGATATCTCTACCCACAGGCTCCAGTGAATCAATAATGCAGCTGTCAGAGGTGGGAGTACCCTGGGTAGTTTTCCCCTCTGTCCTTCATACTTTCTATTACTCATAAATAATAACGTAGGACTTTGAAGCTTCTGAACCAAAGTGGTTCAGACAGTAGCCAACTCAGAAGCACTCACAGCCTGGGAAAAGAGAAGAGAGTAAACTGGGTATATACTTACTCAAAGTCCTCAAACTCCAAGTCGGTTCCCTCTACTGATGGACCCTGGTTGTCTGAGGAAGAAGAGGAAGTGGAAGAACGGAGACGGTTCTGTTGGTAGCGCATAGAGCGCTGGCGAATACTGTCTCTTCGAGAAAGATACTGGATCATCCTCTGGGCGTAGTATGCAGCAGGAGATAATCTGAGAGAGACAGATGGACAAACACAAACTAGCACGAAGCAGGGAATTTGGTGGAGGACAGTAAATTGAGCTCTCGCATGACATCTCCCTGCTGAGACAAACTCCCGAGACATGAAAAATAAAGGGCATTTAACTCACTAGGAGGTTTGTACTGCAGAACATGCTTATCAGACTATCACCAATGTTTCTGTTCTAAGAGGAGGCAAATGAGCTGTTTAACCAGTCATCATCTGATCAAAAGCTGCCCCCTCCTGAGAAGACAATACTGGACCTTTCTTTATAGCTTCTAACAGAATGGCTCCACTTTAGCCTCTCAGGATGCTCTTTGTAAGATTCATAGCCTTTCTCACTCAACATCATTCTCAAATTTAAGAAATCAAAGGAGCTTCAGTCACCTAGAGATCACCTATTCTTTCATTTTATAGATGAGAAAACAGGCTAGAGATGGTAAAAGAAAGGCATCTACAGAGGTCATCTTCACAAATAATTTCTTACAGTTCCAACAAATATACATAGTTCCAGATATCTCCTTAAAATGATCTCTTACTAATAATTCACAATATTTGTAACATGAGATATATAGCATGAAAATAAATATATACTATGGAGAACAGAAGCCCTAACAAAGGGATGTTTCTATTTCTTACAGAGTATCCAAGACTCCATATAGTACTGAGCAGTATAGAAGTAATTCATTTTTCTTCTATCCTTAGCTGTTCTAAGTAAACAGTCTGAACCTTTATGTTCCAGATATGAATTTAGTATCTTTATATTCTACAACTTCTAGTGTTCCATACAATTTCCTTTATTCCTTTTTCTCAAGTGTGTCCTCCATCTTTCACAACACTCTGTGTGATTTGAGACTGTAAATAGAGAAGGTGAAAGGAAAACAGTAAAGACAAATGTTGTATGTGATATTATCAAGTGGAGTACTAAGGCATCTCAAGACTGAAAACCTGCCTAAGGCACACACCCATTTCCACTGTAATTCTACTAGGAATTTTATTCTACAGAAACACACAAGGTTACAAAGACAGATGTAGGAGGAAGTTCATTTGCAACATTGTTATCAAGAGAAACACTGGGAAACAACCCAAATGCCCATCATTAAATAAATTGTAGCCATACAAAGAATCACTAAGTAACTATTAAAAAGAATAATATGTCTCTATCTTTTGAAAAGACCTAAAAAATACACTGGGGGGGTGGTGGTGCTAAAAATAGTTATGTACACACCAACAGGTATATAAAAACATATTTCTATATTTATACACAAAACTAAAAGGAGACACAATAATTATAATGAAGGTTCTTGGGGAACTTTTTATTTCACGCACTTCTCTAATGTTTTAAATGTACAATGGAAAGTAATACCTGTCTCTTGCTACTGTAAAAAAAAATGGTTATTTAATTAAAAGGAAAACATCATTATTTAAATTCTATATGAAATATTTAGAAACATCTGGCAGTCTGTATTTTTTTCACATTCCTGGATAAATTTCTGCTGTTGCTACAGAAGCTGAGGTTGTATCTCAAATGCATGTCATCAGAAGTACTCTGTCCATCTGATCAATCATCAACTGGAATTCCCATGCAGGGTAGCTGACAATTTGCAATGCCTGTATTATGGAACAATATTTTGCACTTAGCACCACTAAATCCAAATTATCTTTGTATGCCATGTGGGCCTAAACGACATAGGTGACCAGGCCAAGATAATCAGTATGTAAGAAGTACTTCTTGAAAGCTTCAACTGGTAAAGTCCACTGCCTCCTTATTGCCATGCATTTTGTAAAGATGAATCACTGAATCACAAGTATTTTCTTTTCCTGTGTATCTTTTTCCTTTTAAATCTATAAAACATACATATCTTTCAGCAGAAATCAATGAACTATAGTTAAACTCTCAAGTTAATTAGACTATCTGGTAAAGAATTAACAGGAAAAAAATATCAAGAGGAAGTTTCATTCTAGGGGAACTGTTCTTAAAAAGTAACCGTAAGTCCACTCACTCCCTGACTGATAGGCAGCCTATCCTAACTAATGCAAAAATTTGGTAAAAGAGTTAGAAATAATTACTTTGCTACTACTAAAACATATTTTTTGCAAAATTTTACAAATTTCTGTTCTTAAAAAAAACAATAGTTTAATTTCACTGGCAGACAAGGATTCATTAGGCAACAAAATTGCACAACTGAAAACCCAAACCAAAACCCTCCGGACACATTATGAAAGACAAACATATTCTAGTCTCATCCCTTTAGGATACCAGAGAGGAGAAAAGAATCTGAATACAGGAGAGAAATCCCAGATTTTGACATATGGCATAATATGATGAATTCTAAGAGGAAAAAGAAATTAAACATGGGCAATCTCCACTTGTGTAATTAACTGCCTATGAAAGCCCACAGGAGGGTCAGCTATGGGTCGGGTCAGTTCACATTTGATGGTACATAACAACAATAATGAAGTAACATTCATCTTCATCTTCCTACTGCAGACAATCCAAAGTGTCCCTGAAATTCTCAAATGTTTTTTTAAAAAAAATCCTTATGCTTTCTTTTTTTTTTTCCTTATGCTTTCTTAAAAAAAAGAACACATTCCTCTTCAAAATACCTATCTGTGTTCAAAGGGAAAATGTAAAATTACCAACACCATAAAGCATGATACTTTCTGTGATAAGGAATGCAGAATAGGTATAACAGATTTATTATAATAGAGAAGGGGAAACTAACAAACAACCTTAGTCTTCATGAATCACTATTGATTTCTGTCAGATTAAAAATCCAACTGTGGCTCTCAAAGAAACAGTCTTATAGCAAGAAGTTCTCTATCTCAGCATTTCAAAGTATTTCACTCAACCAAAAATATATTCTCTCACTGATGAGTTATAATCAGACCAAATTAGAAACTGACATGGACTCCTTGCTTCAGTTATCATGTATACTTTCTACCTGTTTTTAAGTGTTTGATCTTTCTTTTTTTTCTTTTTGTAAAGTCCTTGGTCTTTTAAGCTCCCTGATTCTTGAGTTCTCCATCTGAAGGGGATAGCTAAGAACACAGTGGGGATCTTCCTCTCCTTTTCTGCAAGGCATGCTGGAAGGTTTGGCTCTGCTCCTTTCCCTTTTCTTTCCAGTGGTCCTTTCCCCATTTTTCTTCATCTTTATTTTTTTCACTTTAACTCTTTTGCATAATTCACCTTTCACTAGTTATGCCTCTATTACCTTAATAAACTTTTTTCACTTGTCTTGATAAAAAAAGAACAAAAAACCAACCCCAGAAGAACACAATGGAGACATTTCCTAATACTACAGATAGAAAGCATAGTATCCGAACATAAGTGCAGCAGCAATAAACAAATTTCATACTCCTAGTGAGTCTAAAATATCTGCAGAGTTCATTTCATTCTAGCTTATCTATACTAGTAACATACTAACTTGCTAGCCCCATCACTGTAAATGCCCCCCCCCTTTTTGGACAGAGGCTCACAATGAACTCTAGTTTTAAATGAAGTACAGGCTACTCCCTTTTTTAGGTCACTAATAGTAAATACAGCTCTGACAACTCCCAGGGACTGCTCTCTACAGGAAAACATATTCTGTACCAACTGAACACCCTATGCTTGGTCAGTTACCATGATCAGTATGGGCTCTGACTTCTGCTGAATTTCTTTTCTCTCTCTTCAAGAACTTTTCACTCAAATGTGTATAGTAAATGCTTTAATAAAGTGATAACTGCTTTGATTAGGCCATCTTTCTCCAGCCATCTCTCTTCCTTCAGGTAATTTCCCCAAATTCAACAACTGGATAAGTTTAACTGCTGCCTTTTCATTGTCTAAACGTCCTCTCAAATGACAGCACACCAATCTTTTTTATTTGTCCATAACTTCTCTAAAAATAAAAACCTGTTTCCTTCTCACCTCTCTTCTCTAGTCCCCCATGTGCAGAAAAGTGCCTTAAAAGACAAGGGCTCACTTATAATCGTCTATCACCAGAGGTTCTATTCACTTACCTGTAACAATTCCCCATCACCTGAACCACCTGTCTCAAAACTGTAACTTAAAGAGTAACAGAGCACCAGGACCAGAGAGGCAAGGGGGCTACCAACAGCATGGCAACCCAAGGGCCGCCCCTCCCCCCACCTAATGCCACTTCTCACTTGGCCTTACCTCGCTGGGTCTGGGTATATTGGGTGCTCTCTGGATCCTGCTCCATCATAACGGGATAATGAAATGAGGGAAGACTCCAGCAGCCTCCTAGCAGAGATTAAAAAAATGGCAATAATCCCTGTCAATTACCAACTCAGAGGTCATTCATAAGGAAAAACAGGGGGAAAGATAAATAACTTCCCCCTTTATAGCAGGCTAACACCTGTTATGTAGGATCACACCCTTCCTATAAGCTAAGTACTGAGAGTCATAAATTAATGAAGAACTAGAGAGCGCCCATGCTGGATATGACCGCTGTGTTATGTTCACTACTGTCCAGTAAGAAATAAGTACTTCATACATGATCTACCCTCTATTTGCAGTACCTCCAGTGGATAAAAAGGAGGCTTGAGATCAGCGCAGGAAAGGAGAAATGAGGCGAACATAGAGATAATTACACAGTGCCAACATTTTTCTTGGTGCTCATTTCCTCTATGTCATCAATGACCCATGTGTCTCCTCAACTCATGCTACTCTGCCCATATCTTTTTCATGAAAAAAAAGAGACTCTTAAAACTGACAAAAATCCTTCATTATATAATCTGAATTCAACTCATCATATATGACACACTTTAAAAAAAGGCAATATACTAAGCCCTTCACATGTATTTCCTTTTTTAAAGCTTCATCATAACCTGGGGAGGTAAAAGTAGGTGTTTCTCTCCCTTTCTATTGTCTCTGAACAAGAACCAACTTGTAGCTGACCCCCTTTGGTGGGTTTTTCAGAGGCTATAAATCACACAGGAGAAAACTGTTGGTAGTAGACTTGATCTTTCTCCCACAGAGCAGTTGGTGGATTCGAATCACCTGCCTCTGTGTTGGCAGTTATTACTATACATATATCAGAACACTGCGCCCTGGAGAAGTATACAAAACACTCCAAAGGAAACAAAGCACACCTATTAAGCAACAGGACCAAGCCACCAATAAAAGTCTGTTTTAATTCCAAATGCTTCAAACCACTATGCTACGCAGCAGTACCCTTCAGGGTCCAGCAGGGTAATAAGTGTGTGTGGGGTGCCCACTGTGAATGATGGAGAGTGGCAAACAGGAAAGCTAGAGTCCCATCACTCAGCTCTAGCCACCTGTCCCCACGTTGGAATATGGGCTCAATAGTACTGGCACTGTGGTGCTTTAAAAGAAGCTAGAAGCTTAGAGTATGACACAAAATTTTCTGTTACATTTCTGCTAAAATGTTCTTTTTGCTTTTCTGTACAACAAAGGCCAGTTAAGACACCTGATAAAGGTGGCCCAGTGGCATTCAGTTCACCATATTATAACCCAGCTTAAAAGAGAAGCTCCCTACCACAGAATAAGTTTAAACGAAAAGGGCCAGAGGAAAAAAATGGCTGGTGTTATTCTCCAGTGGAATCTTGCCTGGTTTTCCTAGGAATAGGTCTCCAGCTCCCTGCCAGACTTTTCTTTAAAGCAGAGATGCAGGATAAGGGCAACAGCTACCAATCTTTCCCAATTGATTTAATTCAATTCACTGTTATTAAAACCAGCTGGCTTTAGGAATAGTCATGTGCCGTCACTTTATCCCAGCAACTGGCATTTCTCCACAGAGTCAAAGGAAGAGATACAGCAGACGCTCTATCAACATGGCTTGTGATCTTTCCTGCCCAGGACAACCAGCTGCTAAATGATGCTTTTTTATCTAGACAAGACCTATAAACCCTACCCTTAAGAATACCTGAAAGGGGAGGGGGGGGGGAATGTATACCAATGAAGGAGTTTATCTTTCAGGAGTTTATCTTTTGCCTTCCGAAGAGAGGAGTGAACTGGGGGAGGGGGAGTGTAGAGAAAAAAGTGCAACAATGAGTGAATGGAAATCCAAAATCTCTGTAAATGCTCATTAAAATTAATAAAATAATTTTTTTTAAGAAAAGAATACCTGAAAGTTCGACTATTGAAGAATGAGAATATCATAAGCAATGAGGGAAGACAGAAAGCAATAAAATATTTTCTTCCTGTTTGAAAGCTTGGATTTTCATATATTTGTTTATAGCAATAGAATTACTGTATTTCATCACTTCTAAGATATACTTTAAAAAAATTAGCATCGGTGAGCTCTGGTGGCCTAGTGGCAAGAAGCTATACTGCAGTCCCAGAAGTGAGTGGTTCAAATTCACCAGATGCTCTGCTGGAGAAGGACGGACAATCTCCCCCTGTAACAGTCAGATCCGATTTGACGGTATACACACAAAATAGTAATAATAATATTAATAATAATAAATAAAATTTTAAAAAATTAGCATATCTAAAATTAGGATATGACTCCAGAAACTCTATGAACTTTGATAAATGTTATAGAAAGGCTTCAGGCCCTTTGTTCATAAGGTTGCTATGAGTAGTGCAGTAACAACAAAATTAGGATGCATCTCAAAATTATCTAACACACTTTAATTGGCAGGATTTTCCTTCCTCTTTACAGCGGCCCATAAGTAATACCATTTCTTTTAGAACTTAATATATAGAATGTGAAAGGGAAGAGACAGCAAGAGGTACATGGATAGGGAAAAAAAATTGTAGAAGAGTAACTATATTCTGAACAATTGTTATCTTATATAGACAGTACTTTACTTATTATTAATAAATTAGTTTTATAAAAAGTGGTCCAGTGGGTAAGGCGTTGCACTGCCAACGCAAAAGTATACAGTTCAAATCCACAAGCTGCTCCACCGAAGATGGGAAATCTCCTCCGATATAATTTACAGCCTCTGAAAACCAGACAGGTCAGTGATGGGTATCCTCCAGAGTGAATTGCCTTCTTAAATACTCTTGGGAGGCCTGGTGGTTAAAACATTCAGCTGCTAACCAGAAGCTGGAACTCACTACTCTCTTCACAGATAAAAAAAGATGCAGTAGTTACCTCCCATGAAGATTTACAGCCTTGGAAACAAAACAAGACAGTTCTACTCTACCCTATTGGATCACTATCAGTTGGAATTGACTCGAAATGAGTTTGGGTTGGGTTTTGTTTTGGTTTTAAGACTTCTGCCTGGAAAACAATCCCAATCCCAGTAACTCAGTAGGAAAATATCAGCCTCTACTGTGTTAATGCAGAAAACATTCAAAATGATGGGAGGACAAAACAATACTGCAAAAGAGGTTCCGGAATCAGAAGAATTTGGATTTGATAATCTCAATACTAGAGAGGGTGGAACGAGGCTGCTCCTTGGAGTCAAGGATTCTGAGGCTTCGTCTGACATACTTTGGCCATGCTGCAAGGAGAGACCAGTCGGCGAAGGAAGGCATCATGCTTGGAAGAATGGAGGGATAGAGAAAGAGAGGAAGACCACTGAGGAGATGGACTGATTCAGTGACTGGGGTAATGAGGGTAAGTGTGTCAGTTGGCACTGGATAGAGCAGTTTTCAGGGCTAATTGTACATAGGGTCGCTGTGAGTCGCAGGTGACTTGATGGCTGTGAGTTGCAGGTAACTCAACGACACATAAAAACCACCACCACCTCAATTTTAATGATACCATTTTATAATGCCACAAAGTCTAATTCTCTTCTAAAGGCTTGTCTTTATTGAGGTGACTTCCTTAAATCAAAGCAAAATCAAAACATTAAGCTTTGTCTCTGGAGAAGCTCCAAGGGGATCCTTCTGGAAAATGCATTCTTTGTGCTTATTTACTATAGAATAAAATGTGCTGGGCATCATTTGCTTCCCAGGTGATATAGTGGGACTGGCATAACCTTTGAGTTAACTACTAATAACCAAAATGCTAATCACCACCAACACAGCCTCCTCTCCATCATGCATCACTCACTGATAAAACAAAAAAATTTGTATAGTTACATCAGTAGAAGAAAAACATAAAAACAAATATAAATTCCTCCTACTGCTTTTGAATAAAGAAAGATAGTGAGTTACTGGATTAATAAGCATCACATCCCACTCACCCTTCTCTTTTTATCATGTAGTCAAAACCAACTCAACTGACCCTTTAGTAGTTTTCTGGGGCTGTAAACTGAACAGGACTAAAATGTCCATCTTTCTCCCTTTCTGGCGGTGTTGCCTTTGGGTTAGCAGTACAATTCCCTATGCATTAGGCCACTAGAGCTCTGTGGGAGTAGTACTGTTCCTACCTACTCCTAGGACCTCCCCCCCAAAAAAAAACCCAAAACCAAAAACCCGCAACCCAGCTTTCTCCTCCAGAGTTAGCTTTTTGTGAAGAGGTGCTGATGGGAAAATGACACAATAGTACTTTAGCAGGCAGCTGTAAACCATCTGCTCTGGATATCACGAATTTGACTTGATTCAATTATCTATCATGCAATTTGATAACATAAAATCAGGTATGGCTTGGGAATTATTCAAGCTTAAAGCTGTATTTTGTCATGATTTGAAGATCTCAATTTAAAAATGTTTTAAAAGGTCACTGAAGCCTTTATAGAAAACATTTTCCTTTCCCTACAGCTTACCTGGTTCATTCTCTATACCTATAGTGTTCATGCAAAGCACACCAGTGGTTGTATTATTATGACCCATTTAGAAAAGAAAGAAAATACTAGGACTTTCATTTTGTAATACATAATCATAATGTTTATATAACACAGTTACAAGATATGAGGATTACACAAAAATCTTTATTTACAGAAATACTCTTCAAAAGTCTATGGGCCACTCTGCTCTTAAAAGTTAAACAATGCTTCTAGTAGTTTCACAGATATATTAACCACAAGTATGCAAAAGACAAAATACTAACAAAAAATTTAATAACCATATTCAAACAGAAGAAAAGAAAAATAGGATAATAATGCACATGTGGAAAATGTTAGTTAGCCTTTGGGAAATGTAAGTATAGAATTCTGTATTATTTCTACAAATCTCAAAGTATTTGGAAAGAAAGTGAAAAACTTTTTAAATAAATATCTTAAACCAAAACACTGAAAACTAAAGAGGTAGCTACTCATCTTTAAAAGAATTCTTTACTTACTTTAAAAAGGATTTGTCCAAACAAACAGTTGCACTAAGAGTGTAAAGTAGAGGTTAGTAACACTGGCCCAGCTTCTTGCTTTTGAAAATAAAAATTTATC